TTCTGCTTCTTTTCCCCTTTTCATGGCCTGGTGGGAGCAAACACATTCCTATAGACATTGGAGAGTCCAAAAAACTGTACCTAGTCCGCTGCGTTCCCCGAAGAAATGCCCAGGGAGATAGGAAGCTTCCGGGATGACTATTTCAGAGTCCAGGTTCTGATGCTGTTTAGTCCCTGCCCGTCCCTGATATGAAATGTTGGTTCTTTTGTAGACTGGCGGAAGGAGCAGTTCCAGGCCTGTGAGTGACTCGTGTCCTTTCTGGGTCTCCCCCTTCTGCCCTCATGGTTCCTGGCTTCTCCTTCAGTTCTCTGTGGTGATATAGATGTTGGAACCATCTTTGGTGGTAGGTAGGAACCATCCATTCAGAATAGAAGGTACATAAAGACGAGGACAGTCACATGGTGGGGCTGGTGGGTATGGCTAATGTCAGATGGTAAATAGCTGTCCTTCAGCCTCCGTGCTGTCCTCAAGGCTCTGTGACGTACTTAACTCCTAAATCAGTCCCGTGATTCCTTCTGCTTGGAGGACCATGGATTGAATCACATGATCCACAAGGTTCCTTTCTCAGGGGCTTAGGGCTCTGCTATGTAGCTAATGGCTCTGAGGGAGGGGGTGGCCCTGTGCCCTTGTTATAGGGAGAGGGAGGGTCTTGTATAACTTTTGGTCACTCTCTCTGCAGTGGCTGTCACTCTGGATCTAAGTCGTGCTCATCCCAAACTTGCTGTCTCTCAGGACAGGACAAGTGTGACCCGGAAGGACACCTATGTGAGCTCAGATGATTTCTATGGCGTGTGGGGCCATGAGGAGATCACGTCCGGGCGCTGTTACTGGGAGGTGGAGATCAGGGATACAGACAGCTCTGAGTGGGCTCTGGGCATCCATGGGGAAGATGCGAAAGATCAGCCAAATGGTTCTGGGTTTGCTGGATTCTGGGTTGTGGGGAGGTCTGCAAGTAGATATTATGCCATCACTAAACCAGTATCTCAGCTGTTCCTTAGGCAGCCTCCCCACAGGGTGGGCATTTTCCTGGACTACAGTGAGGGGGACGTCTCCTTCTACAACATGACTGACGGGTCCCACATGTTCTCTTTCCCACCGGCTTCCTTCTCTGGGACTCTTTTCCCTTACTTCATGCTTAAGTCAGGAGATGTGTCCATGACCATCTGCTCCACAGTGGGTGGGCCTGAAGAGTCCTCTGTACCCCTCAGCAATTCTTCCTCTTTGGAGCCCATAAAACCCTCTCCCCCAGGGGAGCTCGCACCCTTGCTTGGCACAGACTCAGGGGCCCAACTGCCATCACTCCCCTGAGAAACTTTAAAGATATGATGCCCACAGGGCCCCACCACTGTCCCTGGGCCCTCTCTGCTGTACCTCCTGAGTCTGCAGACTCCGTGTGGGAAAAGCTTCTGAGATGAGTCCTGGACGACCCGGTGAGAACATCAGTTCACACCTTGTGCTAGAAAGCAGAAGACAGAAGCTGACTGTTGGGCTAATCACAGGGGCCTGTGCTGTCAGGATGCTGTGCTCTGCAAGCCAAGACCACGTGGGAGGCCCAGGTGTGATTATGGTCCAGCCTGAAGGCTGAGTGTGGTGGTGCACACCTGTAATCCCAGAGTTGGGAGGCTGAGGAAGGAGGATTGTGTCAGTGAGACCCTATCTTATTTAAAAAAAAAAAAAAAAAAAAAAAAAGGCGCTTTTGGGCCAGCAGGTGGCATGGTGGTTAAGGTGCTGAAATTCCCACATGGCTGGCCATGGTTTGAGTCCTGGACCTGGCAGC